AATTAATATATATAATTTCATAAGTCTAAATAAAATAAAAAAATTAATTATAAATAATATAAATTTTATTTTTAATATTTTAAATAATACAACTTATTTCATATAATTAATTTTAAATTTTAATCCCATAAAATTCGTTGCTTTCATCTCTATTCATGTAAAAAAATATCTTTTAGGTTTTTTTAACTAGTAGAAGATGGAGAATGAGTTTACCAAACTTTGATGTTTAGATTTTAAATATCAATATGCCTTTTAAAGAAATTGTGGCTATCGGCTTTGGGGAATTATCTTTTAGTTTTAGCAAAAGTAAAAAAATAATGGAAGAGAAAACCGTAAATTTTTAGTCTTTAAATAATCGTCACATGAAAGTAGATCATCTCATCCCACAATAATGGATTTCAATTCTTACATTCAGACAACTCTTCTTGTCTTTAGTCTGCTGCTTCTAATTTTCTCCAGAAAAAAGGCAGCGAGGAATTATAAATCCGGAAAAGTCGGTGCTCCGGAACCAACCGGAGCATGGCCAGTCCTTGGTCACCTCCACATGCTACGAGGCCCAGACCCTGTTTGTAAGAAGATGGGAGCGATAGCAGACAAATACGGCCCAGTCTACTCACTCAAGCTCGGTAACCACAGGCTGCTGGTGGTGAGTAGTTGGGAGGTTGCCAGGGATTGCTTCACCACAAACGACAGAGCTCTGGCGACCCGGCCAAGCATAGCCGCCGGAAAATATATGGGTTATAACAACGCCATCTTAGCCCTTGCTCCTTATGGAGATTACTGGCGTTACATCCGCAAGGTGGCCACCATCGAGCTTTTCTCCGCCCACCGCCTCGAGCAGCTCAGTCACGTACGGTTTTCGGAAGTTGGGTTATTCATCAAAGATCTGTCCAAGCTTTGCAACGGCAGTTGGGTGGAGGTGGATATGAGCAAACTTCTGGAAGGCTTGACATTCAACCTAATCCTGCGGATGATTGTCGGAAAAAGATTCTCCGGTAACAATTGCAAGGAAGATGACAACATGGCACAGCGGTACAAGAGAGCCATAAAGGAAGCTATTGAGCTGAGTGGGGTGTTTGTGTTGTCGGACGCAGTTCCGTGGTTGGGATGGATGGATTTTCATCAGCATGTGAGTAGGATGAAGAAGACGGCGAGGGAGCTGGACTCGGCGCTGGTTAAGTGGTTTGATGAGCATGTTCGGAGGAGGAAGGAAGAGAATCAGGGTGGCCGGGAAAGTGACTTCATGGACGTGATGCTATCGAACCTTCCAGAGGATATCGTGATGTCTGGCCATACAAGGGATACTGTCGTGAAAGCAACAGCTTTGGTATGATATCTAAGACTATGGTTCTAGTTCATTTTTTAAAAACCAAACATTTGGTTTGGGGCCTAAATTGTATAATTAAAATGGTCCAGACAAGATTGAAATCCTGCAAAATTAGGGATACCTTAAATACTTTTCTATTACTTTATATTTTTACAGATTCTCACCCTAACTGGAGGAGAGAGCACTTCTGTATCGCTCACATGGGTACTCTCCCTTTTGCTGAACCATCCAAGCGTGCTCAAGGCGGCACAGGAAGAGCTGGACACCGTCGTTGGAAGAGACAGATGGGTAGAAGAGTCCGATATCAAGAAGTTGGATCTCCTCCACGCCATCGTCAAAGAAACCCTCCGGCTATATCCACCAGGTCCGGTGACCGGCCTGCGCGAGGCCACAGAAGACTGCAGCATCGGTGGCTATCATGTCCCCAAGGGCACGCGAGTAATTGCAAACATCTGGAAGTTGCAGCGGGACCCAAGAGTGTGGAAGAATGCGGAGGAATTTCAGCCGGAGAGATTCATGACGGTTAATTCCGTGATGGATTTTAGGGGTCAAAATTTGGAGTATATACCGTTCGGCTCGGGAAGAAGGTCGTGTCCTGGAATGACTTTTGGCTTGCAGGTGGTTAACCTGACGCTTGCTCGGCTACTTCAGGGGTTTGATATGGCGGCGCCAGCGGGAAGGCCGGTGGATATGCGTGAAGGCTTGGGCCTTGCCTTGCCGAAAGCTAACCCCCTTGAAATGCTACTAAAGCCACGACTTCCTTCCAAGCTCTATCATCAATGCCCCTAAAATACCAAAGTAAAATGCTACAATTTGCAAAGAAGAATGTGAGAGATCAGAAAGTATTAGGAGAAAGGAAGGGTTATTTATAATTTCTCACCTGATGTAGATGTAAAAAAAAATATATAAATAAACATGAAGGTACTTAAAATCTAGTTATGATACTATCAATAAAGTTGAAGCTATTGATCCAACGCACTTTTTTACGTAGTTCTCCATCATATCATTTTCTTTGATTATTCTTAAGACCATCCATGGAAGAAGTAACCAATATTCTTTTAAACTCAGGGTTGGGACATTTCTTTCTCTTATGATCTTTCCTTTCTTTCCCTCATGATATTCTATGACCACGTTTCTCCCCTTCGGGAGTATAGCTTGCAACTCTGCCTCTTGATAGTGGTAGCAATTTCTTCTTAGACATGCGAATTTCTATATCCTACTCGTGGATATAGAAATTTTAAAAATATTCTTTTCGTGGGATGCGAATGAAGGTTTTTTTTTTTTTTTTTTTGTAAAATTTCATGGGAAATTTTCTTTACCCGTGAAAACCTGGGAGAATCCATATATAGTAAAAAATATATATGTAGACATTAAAAATTTTTTAAGGTTAAAATATGTTACCCTGGTAAAATCTTGAAAGGTGGGGTAATAAATATTTAAAGAGATATTTTCTCTTTAAATTTTAAAAAATAAATATATTAAAATGACCAAATTATCCTTAAAATCGAGGGTATTTGAGGTCATTTGGCAAGACTCCTTCACCTATAAATAGGCCATCATTTGATGAAGAAAAGGGAGGAGAAGAGAAAAAAAAAAGGAAGAAGGAGAAAAGGAGAGGAACAACAAGCTTCAAGCCCCCTTCAACAATTCTCGAAGTTTCAAGCCTTAACCTCCTACCACCTACCAAGGGTAAGCTTCGAATCCATGTCACGGACGAAAAGTTTCAAGTGCAAGTCTTGAATCCCTCGAAGGACAAGAACAAGCTTAAGCCCTTGCCCTTCTAAATTCAAATGTTAATTAGAGGATTATGTTGTTCTAAGACGTGCTACTCTTCAAAACTCGAGCGCGTGCACTGCAGCATTCCAAACCAGAGACTGTTGCCATTTTCCTTCAAATTCATTGCAGTTTGTATTGATTTTGCATATCAATACATATTATTTGATTTTTGCAAATTTTGTGACAACACATCTTTGGTGACTCCACTAAGGAAATCTCTGCCTCTCATCTTTCGACTGAAAAAAAAATCTACCATATCTTTCCAAGCATGGCAGATTCAAAGCAAGCTATAACTCCTTTCACAACTCGAAAAGTTCAAATCTTTTCCAATCAATCCTCCTTGTTGACTCGTGGCAAAGCGCACATGACAAGATCTAAGTTGGTGTCCCCTCTGAGGCAATTCACTAGAAGACGTTGTAAGCAGGCTGTAATGAAAAAACGATCATTAGCCATCCAATTGCCTTTCCGACCTGTGAAAGATGTTGAGTACTTCTCCTCAGAATCTAGTGAAGGTGAAGAAATAAGTCTCAAGCCCAGTCATGTGCTTGCTTCAAAGTTAAGATGGGCTAATTGTCCTTCTTCATCATCTGGGTCCCTCCTGCATGCCTTTGTTATTGAAGCAACATCTGGTGACTTGAATGCTCTCCTCAAGGCTGTGGAAGGCTTAAGGAAAGCCCTGGCTGAAAAGGATGCCCAAATCAAGGAACTCTAAGAACTCTTGGTAGCTCAACACTTGTCAAACCAGAATAACCAAGCAGCATCAAGCTCAATTGCTGAAAAAACCCTCGTAAACAAGGAAGACCCACTAAGGACTTCAGATTAGAGTAAGCAATTTGCCATGGAGGAAAGCTTGGAGCAACAAAAGTAAGAGCAACTAGATCGAATAGCTCTTCAGAATGCTTTTCGTGACATTACTCATGCTACTGTGGCATCTCTTACGTTTCCATAACTTAAACTTTTAGTTGATGATGTCATTCAAGCTCGGCAAGGTGGGACCTCACAATCCTCATTTGTGTATGCTAAGCCTTATGCTCGCAAGATTGATAATCTAAGTCTACCAGATGGCTATTAGCCACAAAAATTCCAAAAGTTCACTAGGAAGGGCAACCCAAGGCAACACATCGCCCATTTTGTTGAAACATGCAACAATGCTGGCACTTACAGGGACCTCATGGTGAAACAATTTGTCCGGTCCTTGGAGAATGTAGCCTTCGAATGGTACACTGATCTTCCTATTGGGTCAATGGACAGTTGAGACCAGTTAGGGCAGTAATTCTTGACACGTTTTTACAATACCAAGCATATTGTTAGCTTGCCTAAGCTTGCTAACACCGAGCAAAAGAAAAATGAGTTTGTGACAGGCTTCATTGAAAGATGGAGGAATCTTGTCCTAAATTGTCAACAAAAGATTAGTGAGACTTCTTTTATTGATGTGTGTGCAAGGTATGAATTGGGGACTACTGTATAACCTTCAAGTTAACATGCCACATACCTTTGAAGAGTTGGCCACTCATGCCCATGACTTGGAAATTCGAATTGCTAGGCATGGTAACTTTCTTCCAACAGATGCTTATGATAAAAAAGAGTCTCAAAAGGATGTGAAAAAGGAGGTGAAGCTTGAAAAAGCAAAAGAAACTATGGTAGTCACAACAGCACCTGTGAAGATCTCACAACCAAAGCCAAAGCCAAAAGCCAAATCCTAAACAAGGTGTTAAGATTGTTGAGGATCAGGGCCAAAAGAAGAAGTCTACATTGAAGGAGTTATAAAAAAAGGAGTATTCATTTGTAGACTTTGAAGTGCCTGCTATCTTTGAGCAATTGTTGGCACTTAACCTAATTGAACTTCCAGTTCTTAAGCGCCCAAAGGAAGTCGAATGAGTGAATGATCCAAAATACTATAAGTATCATTGAATTGTGAGTCATCCAATCGGTAAGTGTTTTGTGTTGAAAGATCTGATAGTTCATCTTCAGAAAGAAGGCAAAATACAACTAGAAAGTGAAGAAGGTTCTGTTGCCACCAATGTTGTCATGGTTTCCTTTGGATCCTTTAATCCAATTCGACTCCTACTTGTGCAACCAACGCCACTAATGGTTCAGCTTAAGGAGTTTGGTTCCCACCTGCCCAAAGGGGCAATTCAAGTCAAATTTCGAACAGATGATGAAGAGAAGATAGTCTATGCTTATCTTGGCATACCTACTTTCGGAGGCCCAGGGTCTCTTTCCTTATATGACCTCATGATGGTGAATCTCAAAGATTGGGAATTATCATCTGAATCGGAAGATGAGGTTGGTGATGGTTGCTCAACCTTCATTAGTAAGAGCAAAAAACACCATAATCCAATCTCTAGTAGAATGCCACTCCAAGATCTTTATAAGGTTATGTATGGTATCTATCCAGGGATAAAGCTGATTGGATGGCATTCAAACTTTGTGTTTCCTGCCCTTGACAATGATGATGATGAGTGGATTTCAATTCAGTCACAAAGGAGGAGGCGTCATTCAAGACCCACACTACCAGCCATACAACAAAATCATTCATTACTTTTAACTTTGCCAACTGCACCAAAAAATCAAGATGACGTTAGGTAATGAAAAAGAGGTCTGACTTACAAACAAGATGTTGACAAGTTCCTAAGAAGAGAAGGTTACCATCTGAGAAAGACATGAACTCAAAAGAAAAGGTTGTAGTTACCCTTTATGAATACTTTCCAAAGGGATATTTTTCTGATGAGGTAGTATCTGTTGAGGTCCCAAGTTTCAAGATAGAAAACAAACCGTCACCTAAAGAAGAAGCAGAGGGTTCTGAGAGCCAATCAAGTAATCTTGAAGTCGATGGAAGTGTAAAGAAATTAAAGCAACCTCCATCTGACTTACAATTATCTAAAGCTTTATAGTTTTCATGGGATACACACCTCGCTCTTCTACAAGCTATGTTAGACCTGAAAAGGTTCCAGGGTGAGCTTGCTAAGCCGAAAACTAAGGTTGAGTGTTTAGGAACAATAACCTTCACAGATGAAGACCTACAGCTTGGAGCTCAAAAACATAATAGGCCTCTTTATGTGAGTGGCATTGTTTGAGATCACAAAGTGAATCGAATTTTGATCAATGATGGATCTACTATCAACATAATGCCAATTTACACCATGAAAAACATTGGAGTAGCTGTTGATGAATTGACTAACAGTTAACTCAAAATCCAAGGCTTTAACCAAAAGGGCCAATGTGCAATTGGCAAGATTCACATCAATTTTTAAATTGCAGACATGGCAACCTTAGCTTTGTTCCATGCCATAGAGGCTAAAACATCATATGAGCTTCTTTTGGGACAAACATGGATTCATGAAAATGGGGTGGTTCCGTCAACTTGGCATCAATGTTTTAAATATCATTTTGATGGTAAAACCAAATGTGTTATGGTTGAGAAAGAGCCTTTCACTAAAGAAGAGTCCCATTTTGCTGATGCCAAATTTTATGAAAAGGAATAAGATGATTCTGAAGCTCTTCCTATCAAGATGCCACAAATAAAGTAAAAGAATGATGGAAAAATCATTGTTCGCCCCATAAAAGATCCATCTTCAAGTTCTAAAGTTCATCTTTTAGTAGAAGATGTGAATCTGCTCAAAGAAGATCTTGTGCTTCCATTGTCTACACTCTCTAAGTTGGATATTTCTAACCCAATTATAAAAGAGGCAGTTGAAACAACCATAGAACATGAAAAGCAACCTCAAGGATGGTTTGATCCATGTGCTTAAATGTTGCTAAAAAGGGCTGGTTTCAAATAAGGAGAGTGTCGACAACTTGGGATTTGGACTGTATCCTCACAAGTACTCAAGCAACCCAAATTGGGAAGAAGGCTACATTGAGAGGAGAATCTATACTAAAGTAAAGGCATGGGCTTGGATTTTAATCATCCAAACTTCAAAAGATCAAGATAAAAAAGAAGTCAGCCAATCCAATAACCATCCAGATTTTTGAAACCAACGAGATCGAAGGGACTCCACAAATATGAGATTCAGCCTTAGAAAGGATTCGGCAAGAAAATGTTTGAGTATCAATTTTTGAAAGACTAGGGTCTGCTCCACCACCACTAACAACCTAGGAGAATCCTTCTCAAAAGCCTTCAGTCTTTTCTAGACTTAGTGCTAAGTAGTAAAACAACAAGAAAGTATCTAAGAGTTAGAAATTTCAGAAGAATAAGAACAAGTATGTGCAAAGAAAAAAGTTTCAATGGAGGCGTAAAGGCGTCTTTAATGGGCAAGAGATCTTAAAGCCTTTTGCTAAGGAGGTAAAGGTAGTTGAATCAAACCATGTCTCAATTGAGAAAATTTCTGATTCTGACGATTCTTCAGATGAAGAACCAAATCCAGCCCCAAAAGCCTTTAAAAAGGGGGGGACAAGCTACTACTGACGAGTTAAAGCGACAGAACTTGGATAGAAAGGATGAGCCAAGGCCTATTTTTCTCAATGCATCATTGAGTTTGGAGGAAGACGTAAGATATGTGCAATTGCTCACCAAATACAAAGATGTGTTTGCATGGTCATACAAAGAGATGTCAGGCTTAGACCTAAAGGTAGTTGTTCATCTTCTAGTCGTGAAGCATCGGGTACGCCTACTAAAGCAATTGCAAAGACGTTTTCGTCCAAAGCTTATTCCACAAATTGAAGCTAAGGTTGACAAGTTGATTGAAGTTGGCTTCATTCGGGGGGTCCATTATCCATCATGGATTGCGAACATTGTTCTAGTTTTAGAAAGAATGGACAACTCATGGTATGTGTAGATTTTCGTGATCTAAACCAAGCATGCCCAAAAGATGATTTTCCACTCCCAATCATAAAGCATATAGTGGATGCAACCATGGGCATGAAGTTTTGTCCTTTATGGATGGATTCTCAAGATACAACTAATTCGCATGGATCCCAAGGACAAAGAGCTTACAGCTTTTCAAACACCAAAAGGTATTTATTATTATAAAGTTATGCCATTTGGGTTGAAAAACGTCAGAGCCACTTACCAGTGTGCAATGCAAAAGATTTTTAGTGATATGTTGCATAAGTTGGTTGACTGTTATGTCCATGACTTGGTTGTTAAATCCAAGAGACGTGATGACCACCTCAATGACTTGAAAGTTGTGTTTGAAAGACCTTGCAAGTACCAGTTGAAAATGAATCTATTAAAATGTGCCTTTGGTGTTTCCTCTGGGAAATTTCTAGGGTTTATTGTGAGGCATCGAGGCATTAAAATTGATCAATCCAAGATAGAAGCAATTGTAAACATGCCGCCCCCAAAGAATCTTTGAGAGCTAAAAATCTCCAAAGCAAGCTGGCTTACATTCGGAGGTTCATTTCAAACCTTGCCAAATGGTGTCATCCATTTAACAAGTTAATGAAGAAAGATGTACCATTTGTCTGGGATGAAGCATATTAAAATGCCTTTGAAAGCATTAAGAAATACCTCTTTCACCTTCCAATTCTTGTTGCACCCATTCTAGGCAAGCCATTGGTCCTTTATATTGCTACACAAGAATATTCCTTCCGAGCATTGTTGGCAAAAGTCAATGAGGAAGGAAAAGAAAATGCTCTCTATTATTTGAGACGTACTCTCCTGGGGGTAGAAGTGAATTATTTACCCATTGAGAAGATTTGCCTTGCCCTGATCTTCTCTACAAAGAAATGGGGACATTATATGTTAGCACATGTAGTACATCTTATTTCAAAAGTAGACCCTTTAAAATATATCATGGCAAAGCCAGTGCTTTTGGTAGATTAGCAAAATGGATACTATTATTGTCTGAATTTGAAATAATTTATGTGCCACAAAAGGCGGTAAATGGACAAGCCTCTTCTGAGTTTCTTAGAGATCATCCAATTCCAGCTGAATGGGAGTTGTCAAAGGGTCTTCTAGATGAGGAAGTGTTCTTTGTAGATGTATTGCCATCATGGAAGCTCTACTTCGATGGAGCATCAAGAAGAGATGGTGCTGGGGCTGGTGTAGTGTTTGTAACGCCAAAAAATGAAGTAATATCATACTCTTTTACTTTAAGAAAACAATACTCTAATAGTGTTGCTAAGTATCAAGCATTGATTGCGGGCTTGGAGATGGCTCTTGAAATGCAAATTTAACAACTCAATATTTATGGGGACTCAAGCTTGGTAGTGAATCAACTCATAAAGGAGTTTGATGTTCGCAAACTAGATCTATTCCCATACTTCCAATATGCCTCTCAACTCCTTCAGAAATTTGATCATGTCTTAATTGCCCATGTTCTTAAAATTCGAAACAAGCACGCAAATGCTTTGGCTAATTTAGTTGTCATTGTGAGTCTTGATAATCAAGAAGTCACTATTTTTGTATCCCAACGATGGATTTCACCTTAATTGAGATCTGAAGATGTAGAAAGCAATGTTGTTTCAGTTTTTATCATTGAGAAAGAAGATTGGAGACAACCAATCATCAATTACTTGGAACATGGAAAGCTACCAGATGATCCACACCAAAAGTCTACAATTCAGAGGAGGGCTTTATGCTTTGTTTACTTTTTTAACACCCTCTATCAACGATCTTTTGATCGAGTTCTCTTTAGATGTTTGGATGGAGATGAATCATCCCAAGTGATTGAGGAGGCGCATTCTATAATTTGTGGAGCTCATCAGTTTGACCCAAAGCTTCACTACCGAATAAGAAGAATGGGATACTACTAGCCAACAATAGTAAAGAATTACATGGAATACATGAAGAAATGTGAAGCATGTCAATTTCATGCAAACTTTATCCATTAGCCACCAAAGCCTTTACATCCAACAATAACATCATGGCCTTTGATGCTTGGGATTCAGATGTGATTGGACCTATAACACCAAAATCCTCAACTAGGCATGCATATATCTTGGCAGCAACTGATTACTTTTCCAAATGGGCAGAAGTTGTACCTTTGAGAGAAGTCAAGAAGGAAAATGTTGTTGACTTCATTCAAGTCAATATTATCTACCAATATGGTGTTCCAAAGTACATAATTACAAATAATGGCAAGCCTTTTAACAACAGTGTCATGTACAATCTATGTGCAAGATTCAAGTTTGCCCAGCATTTTTCCTCCATGTTTAATGCTGTTGCAAATGGATTGGCAAAAGCTTTTAATAAAACCCTTTGCAATCTCCTTCAGAAGGTTGTTTCAAAGTCTAAGATGGATTGGCACTTTAGGCATATTGAACGACTCATCATATTCCAACAAAAGCAACTCCTTATTCCCTTGTCTATAGAGTTGAAGCTGTTCTCCTTTTGGAATGCCAAATTCATCTCTCAAGATTGCCATTCAAGAAGGTCTTACTAATGAACAAAATACCGAGCTCCGTCTCTAAGAACTATAAGCCTTGGATGAGAAAAGACTAAAGACCTAGCAATACTTAGAGTGTTATCAAGCCAGATTGTCATCACTCATCATTCAAGGGGCAAGTTCACTTCAAAATGGGATGGTCCTTATGTCATAATAGAATTTTACAGTAATGGTGCCTACAAGATTGTTGACAAAGATGGTCTATAGATTGGTCCCATTAATGGAAAGTTAGTTTACTCTTAAAAAATGAAATGTAATACTCATAGTCACAAGAGTATAAACTATATGACCAAAATAAAAAAAAAAATGCAATACACCTGGCCTACAAAAGTATAAACTGTGAACGGCTCAAAAAAAAAAAAAAAAAGAACCTTTGAACTACGTTTGACTTGATCCCCAAAAGGGTATGTAGGCAACTTGGTATTTTTTCCTAAGTTCAGTCAAATCTTAAAATAAATTTAAGTTTGCTTTTGATTATGGGTCATTTCATCTCAAGTAGTCCAACAAAAGGAGAAATGTCTATGTCAAGCAAAAAAAGAAAAGCAGAGAGAACAATAAAAGTGAAGAAAATGCATCTTATTTATTCATAAAGTGGCTAAAGCCAAAGTTTGACAAGTCTTTGAAAAGAAATGCTCAAAGTCTAAAAAAAGGGAAAGAATACAAAATAAACAACATTACATGTTGTTTTCAACCCAAGTCCCCTTTGTAATGGCTTCAAACTCAATTTCAAGGTATTGTCGTATCCTCTACACTTCAGCGACTATCTCAACAGCTACAACTTTGGAGTTTTCCAACTCTATCAATTTTGCTTGGTTGGACTAAAGTTGTTCTTCTGTCATCTGCCTCTTGTCAAGGAGCAAATCAAGTGTGGAAGTCACATCACTATGTTGCTGCTCAACTGATTCCAGCTCTTTCAAACTTTCAATCCTACTTTGTAGGGATCCTTTCTTCTCGGTGAGTTCATTGATTTCCTTTGAAAGAGAGTCATGGACGCTCATATTTGATGATATCCCCTTTCGTAAGGCAACAAGAGATTTATCTCTTTCTTCAACATCCAAGCCGATAAAGACCTCATCTCGTTTTGCTAAGTAGAGATTTACCTTGGATAGGTAAGCATTCATCATCTTGAGTAAAAAGTCAACATCCATGTGAAAATAAAGCTGGAGTGCTTCTGAAATTGTAGAAGATTGCTTTGCCCACCATTATCCAAGCCTAGAAAGGCCATTCTGCAAGCCTCGTGACAATTCCTCTTGCACATAGTTGCTCATAGCTCTAAAAAGGATGGGCTTCACCAGTGCTTGAGAGCTAATTAGTTGGTAAAACCCCACAAATTGCCCTTCAACTTTTTGAGTATATGGAACTTTACCCCTTACTTTACAATATGTGATTTTATACCCTCTTGGTATTTGAGTTTATGATAATGAGGTAATTTTTAATGTTGTGGACTCACATGTAGCCCTCAAAAGTTGTAAGGTTAGGGGTAACATTCCACGCACTTGAATACCATAAAGGTATAAATCATAAACTTGAATACCAAGAGGGTATAAAATCACATATTGTAAAGTGAGGGGTAAAGTTCCACACACTCAAAAAGTTGAAGGATAATTTGTGGGCTTTTGTCCTAATTGGTTCCAAAGGCTTGGTTATGTAGGAGAATGTAGGCTTCAGTTTCAGTAGATTAGATGATGTCATCGCAAGAGGATTAAGTCCAATGGTTTCCTTTACAGCTGGATGTTTGTCGTGAAAGTCAACTTCTCCATCTTCAACAGTTACTTGCTCACCAACAGTCAAGGATAGAACTCCATGAATTTGGCTTGGAAGTGATCCAAATTTCTCAAGAGTGTCCGTTTCAAGAAAATCATCTAAAGCACTAACCATCTCTGCATCTCCAAGTAGTACTGTTAATTTTGGGGAGCTAAATATTTCTAAAAGAACGAAAAACAAAAGTCAACAACAAGAGAATTTTAAGACAAAAAAGGAGATTTCATTTAAATGGTGAGGAAATATGCTTCCCTTCATAACAAACTTGATTGGTGGTTTGTGGGGCAACAGGCGTTGAAGGTGACTATTGCAAAGAGTTTAGCACTCTTTGAGGCTTCTGTTACATTTCTACTTCTTTGAAGATGGACTAGGGTCACCAGTATGATTTCACTTCTGTGAGGGAGACAATAGTGCTTGAAGCTATTTCGATTTCCCTTGAGGTTTGATCACAGTGCTCTTCATTAGGGATGCCATGAAATTTCTAGCCTCACTAGCCTTCAAGAATTGGATGCTAACTGCAAAAATTGAAGGAAAAACTTCTTCATTCCACCACTTCACATAGGTTGGGTCGACCCTAGATCCTACTCCGCCTTCAGCTAAGGGGGTATGAAGAAATGTGTTGTTATGCACTCGGGTTAAAGATAACCAAAAGCGGTAAAGATCTGACACTTCACCACCTTGAGGTAATTCAACATGCCTTCCTGAAAGTCTTTGTTGAAATCCATTTTGTCTAGCAAATTGGTGAGGATTGTAAGACTTCTTAGTGAAGCGGCTTTCTTGGTGGAGCACCACATAACCTGCTTTGATGCTCACTATGAAATCCAAAGTGTCAGCCCGTCGTTGCCCATCATCAACTCGAGGTCCCGGGTGGGCTGGTAGAGGTATTAAAGTCCAACAAAAGTCATCTGAGGATAAATCACCTTGTAAAACTGCACAACAATTTGTTACCTCTGGTTCCCAAGGTTGTTATGCATTCAAAACCCCATGAATTGTCGAACCATAGGTAAAGAAGCTTTATATCTGGCTGGGAAAGTCCTACGGGGGAAATGAAAACCAATCCAGGCTTATAAATAATGTCCAAGAAAAGGAGGAGTTTCAGTTGCATGTACCCATGAACCTTCAAGCACTTTTGTCAGTGGTCGAAGTCCACGATAGATGCATGCTAAAATAGGAGGAACCAAGCTGTAGGTAACACCAATTGCCATTTGGGCTGCAGCTTTGAAAGTTTCAACTCTAACAAACTCTTCCCCATCTAGAAAAACAAATCTGCCAAGCCAAACACAAAGATAGGTAGCAATCAAAAGTTTTTCTATATCATTTACCTCTAAAGCAACATCTAACATGCCAAGTCGATCCCATTGTTTTGGTACACCCCTTAGTTTCCTCTCATGTCTAAATGTCCACTTCAATGGGCAGTCAAGTTTAGGAACTAAAATCACATTCCCATTGCCATCATACTTTAACTCAGACATATCTATATATCGTTTGCTCTTAAGTGGATTGGCATATGGTGGGTTGCGATTGTACCACAAGTCGAGCCAATCAGCGTAAGTTACACGATTAGAATTCTCCTTTTGGATGATCGTGGCAAAGGCTTTAAACAGAAATAAGCAGCAAGGCAGTAAGTCCTCTGTAAGCTCTTTGTAACTTGGAACCACCTCTTCATAGTCTGCTTGTCAAATTGACAAACCAGAAATGCCTCACATCTCTAGGAGAGAAATTCCAACCTCTCTTGCCAAAGTTAAAAAGGTATTTGTACTTGGAGACCATATCTCAATGAGGGCACGAAGCATGCTTGAAGGACAACAATAGTTATTATTGGCCAATGACATTGCATTTGCTAAAGCTCCCATCTTGTGACGACTTAGCATTTTGGTTGTGTAGGTTGACCAATCCCAGAAGCCACTTAGGAATGGTATCTTTCCCAAATGATTGATGGATTGACACCATTTGCTCGCTCCTCAGCCAATCGACTGCGTTACGACCATTGTTGGTGTTGCATATTCGGCCACATGATTGGAGGGAGGCACCAAGGAAGGGAGAGATCCAACGTTGTTTGTAGTTGATGAAGCTTCTCCTTCTGCGATCACATACTCACAGAGCTTGGGCATATTCAATGTGAGTAGGTTTGAAAGTCCTACGATAGCATAGGGACCACTGGAGACTCAAGCACCATAAGTTGAAGCTCTTTAGCCTCTGACAAAGAAGAAGACCGTATGTGAGTTAATGAGAGGTGTAAGAATTGCCCAACCTCTTCAAGGTTTGACAAATCAACAATCCAGTCACCTTTCAACATCGTAGCTGTGGAAATCATCTCAGAAGCAGGTCTTCGATTTGGAGCCATGTCTAAACAAAGTCATACGCAAAAGGCCAAATTATTCATGTTAAGTTCATGAATTAAACAATAATGGGAATTCTAAAATAGATGCTTACTTGGATGGTACGTGATAGATGCACAACAAGAATTTCAAGTACCACAGTAAATGTGCAAAAGTTGTAACAAAGAAATTAAGCAACAAGTGCAGGTGAAATCTACAAAAAGAAAAGACAAAGTCGTGCATGTAGCAAGAATTTTGGGGCCAAGACTTGTTGAGTCAAAAAAAAAAAAATGTTGTTCTCTTAATTGCTTATGGAAAGGACTTGATTGGGGGAAATCGCAAATTATGTGACTAAATCACAAAAGCATAGAAAGTTGGAGGACAACAGTTAAAAAAAGAAGGTTCAAGGATCAGATTACAGTTTTGCCAAAAAAAAGTTTTGCAACATTCTTGAAGAAAACCTGACACGGACAATTTCATGTGCATGTGCAGAGTGTTGACACCTTCTTTTACGTGTTGACCCATATGTAAAGATTTTTGGTCCAATGATGCTGGGCTATGCAGGAAAGGAGGCCCAAATAAAAGAGTGCATTCGGCCAGTTTAAAAAAGGAAAAAAAAAGGAACAATCTTCACCTGTTTATATCGTGGGAAAACAGTGCATAAGATTCTTCAAAAATCATAACATCGGGCAACCAAATTTATAGAAAAAAAAAAAAAAAAGGTCTAGCGTTAAAAAGGGGGCCTAATGGGAGCACGTGGAGGCTCTTCTGTTTATGCGCCATACTTGATGTCATCTTAGCAGCAAGAAAAAAAAAAGAAAGAAAGAAAAAAGGAAGAAGCTACACAGCCAAGAAAGTGAACGATGCTCACGTTGATGCCGCAGCAATGGTGACAACGAAGAATCAAGGTGAAACTGCCCCAAAATTGCTCTAAAAAAAAAGGGAAAAGGTTGAACAGCCCCAAATTGGAGAATTTGTCCACTGCCGTTGCACTGTAAAGGACGTAAAAGACTGAAGCTCTATTCCTGAAAATAAAGCCTACTCTTGAAGCTCTGTTCCTGAAACTCTGAAGCTCTGAAGCTCTGCTCCTGGCTGAAGACGCTGTTGCTGCTCTGTAATTTTGTTCTCCCAAAATCATCAATTTATAGAGCGTGAAGGCAAGCATTTGGATAAAGGCAGATCTGAATTTTGTTTAAGTTCAAAATTTTCCAAAGTTCAAAATTTTCCAAAATTCAAGTTTTAATCTTGAAGTTTGTCATGATGCAGTTCAGGTTGTTTAGGAAAATAGGAGAGAATAAACTCAGCCCAACGGATGAGCTCTAAAAAAAAAAAAAAGTCCGGCAATTGCTAAAAAGGTTCGCTCCAAATGGATTAATCCATTAAAAAAAAAGGGCTAAAAAAAAGAAACAGAGGCCCAATTGGTGATTGACAATGTGTTATTGTCAACATAATTTTTTTAAAAAAAGGGCTTAAAAAAAAAAAAAAACAGCACCATAAAAAAAAAGAGCTATGGAGAAAGGCGATTGTTTCTTCAAAATTTCATTTGCTCTTTTAGGTGGTGTATATCAAAATTAATTTACTTTTTTTTTTTTTTTTGCATACAATAATGCAAGTAAATTAATTCCAAGGGGGCATTTGTAGACATTAAAAATTTTTTAAGGTTGAAATATGTTACTTTGGTAAAATCTTGAAAGTTGAGGTAATAAATCTTTAAAAAGATATTTTCTTTTTAAATTTTAAAAAATAAATATATTAAAATGATC